GTGCCCAAAGTACAACAGCCTCAGTTTTGTCATCTTGGCTTCCAGGGATATCTCTGGCTTGTTCTGCTCTAGGACTCATTCGTTTGTCTTTTTGGCTGTCCCCATGGATCCTCAGCACTCTTCTACAGCCCACATCTCAAATGCATTGATTTCCTATCCCACTTTCTTCACTGTCCAGCTCTCACATCCATACATGGTAATATGGAATACAATGGCTTGTACGATTCTCACTTTTGTATTTAGCTGTATATCTTTGCATTTTAGAATCTTTTCTAGTTCTTTCATAGCCACTCTTCCCATTCTTAATCTTCTGATTTCCTGGCTACAGTCACCATTTCCATCAATGTTTGATCCCAAGTATGAGAACTCTTTTACCACTTCTATTTCTTTATTGTTGAATTTGTCAAGATTTCCCGTTGTCATTATTTTTGTTTTCTTTATGTTCAGCAATAGGCCTACCTTTGCACTTTCTTCCTTGATCTTTCTTAGTAATTGTTCCTACAGTAGTAAAATTATGGATAGTACGATTGTTTAAAAAATATTAATCAATCACATTTAAAATATTAATTTAAAACAGTTTTTAAAGACAGTTAAAATGTAACAATGATTATGAATAAAAATGCCTCCACAAATATAGGACACCTTAATTAAAAGACCTTCTGCAACAGACAGTCAACACTGAAAGGCTTAGTTAAACAGAAAGTCTTCACTTGCACTATTTCTGGCAGTCTGCAACCCCCCTATGATAACTGAAAAGAGACAGTGTAGTGAAGCTGTTTGAGTGTTGGACTAGTGTTCCAGCTTGGCCATAACACCCACTGGGTGAACTTGGGCAAGTCACACTTTCTCAGCTTGGCAACGACAAACCCCCTCCCAACAAATCTCACCAAGAAAACCCCACGATAGGTTCGCCTTAGGGTCACCATAAGCCAGAAATAATTCTAAGGCATGCAACACATGCACACACAATGAAGCTATGTTGGAAGCATGGAGGGGGAGTCATGGAAGCTGGAAGCCTGCTGGCATGACGGGTGGAGAGGGAGAGAGAACAATAGATTCTTTCCTGATATGCCAAATTCAATGAATTGAGGTTCCCTCTGATCTGACATAGGAGCGCACAGCTGAAGAGGCAAGGCTTTGCTGGATCATAGTGAGAGTGCTGGCTGGTTTGACCACAGGGTACATGAGTGCAAGAAAGTAACAAAACAAGGTGTCTACACTAGCATCTTTTAGAATAGCTGCTCTCTTAAGTGGCAAAAGGCATCTGTGATAGCATCCTATTCATCGCCTGCATGTTTTGCATGCTTTCAGCAAACTTTGTTTTGTGATTGGTTGATGAAATGTAAACACTGGCTTAATTTGTAAGCCTGATTTTTGAGGCATGTACATCTGAGCAAATTTCATTGTGGGCAGACAAATGAATTTATCTTAAGTAACAGACATTTATGAGAGCCAGTGTGGCGAAATGGTTTGGGCATTGGACTACAACTCTTGTGGTCAGGGTTCGAATCCAAGCTCAGCCATGGAATTCCACTGAGTGACCTTGGGCAAGTCACAGTGTCTAAGCCTCAGAGGAAGGGAATGACAAACCTTCTCTGAACAAATCCTGCTAAGAAAATCCCATGATAGGTTTGCCTTAGGGTCACCATAAGTTGGAAACAATATCAAGGTACACAACAAACAACAACATCAGACATTTTCCTTTACTGTCTAACTGGATCCCAAGGCTTCCAATGTCAATAAATTGGGAATGGGTTTAAAAAATGGGGATGCAATGTGCATGCAGCAGCATCTTAAGAGAGGGCAAAAAGGTTGCGGGCAGTACAAAGGTACACAAAGCAGAACACAAAAGAACCAGACTGAGGAAGAACCATGGAATGGCAAAAGCAGCATCGACCCCAAGATACTTGATAGGTTAATAATAATAATAATAATAATAATAATAATAATAATAATAATAATTCTATCCCGCCCCTCTGATGAGCAACTTAACAAAGAGGGATACCTAATTACCACTTAACAAAGAGAGATACCTAAATATAGGTGGGTATAATTACCAACTGATAATTTACACAAAAGCTCAATGCTTTGGACGGCTAATTAAAGGACTGTAACGTGATTATTAAAGACAACACATTACCAAAGCCACAAACAAGTATTGATCCAGAGTAATTAGATAACAATATTTTCCAAAGTATTGACAAAACTTTGTTAAGGCTGGATTTAAGAATAAGGAATAAAGAGCAAAAGGAAAAGCTAATGTGAAGTACAAGAGTAAAGTCAGTGGTACTAACCATTATGGCAGTAAAGAAGAACACAAGATTGAGAAAACAAGGAGAATTCTGTGCCTACTTACCTAGGTGTCAGCCCTAGGCATTATACTCAGTTGTTTTTTTAAAGATGAAAACATCTTAAAAGCTCCATCATTGTGTGTCAAAACATTAATGGAAAGATGTAATTTTTGGACAACAAGCAGTAATAGGATTCATGTAGACTATGGGGGCAAAGATGCATCTCTGCTTCCCAAATTGTCTGATATCATCAGCTTTCTTAAAAACCTGTCAGTTCTACAAATTTCTACATTCCAAAGGGGGTTATTTTTCTGCCATTACACTTTTTTGTGCTGCATATTGCTCATGTTACATTTCTAGCAGGAAAGCAGTCTACATGGGACAATAACTTGACATTTACAAAAATTGCCTTTCATTCACTCGACTCTAGCATCTAAGTGCTTCTGAGCAAGTAAATAACAGAAATTGTGTTAATGACTTATTTCAATAGCAATGATTCCAAGTAACTGCTTGCATTTTAGCTACAGAAAACTGCTATATTGCTTATTTTAAAATGTTACCAAAATGCTAATGTAAAAAACACATTGCCAACTTCAAACTGGAAAATGGCTTTATAGAAAACCGAACCCCCTCCAACAAACAAAACTGCTGCCTGTGTACAGGCGTCCCTCCGGATTTGCTGACTTCCCATTCGCAGTTTTGAATTTCCACGGACGGGAAGCCAGGAGGGACAAAATGGCATGCATGTGCGGAGCCACGTGCAGAGCCACGCGGCCATTAAAGACAATGGGGATCCAATATTTGTTTGTTTGTTTTTCCAATTCGTGGGGGGGGGGGTCCGGAACAGATCCCTCATGAATTGGAAAGGACTGTATATCATCGTATATTATTCTTTCCAAAGCTTGAGGGCAATTAATCCCTTCTCCATGTATACATTATCTCTTTGAATACAAGAAGTCTTGTTTATTTTTATTAAAATACAAACACTTTGTGTCTAGTGCTTTTAGCATACAGTCAATAGTTTATGTATGCTGTAAATGTTTCAACAGATGCTAGACTAATTCCAGAAACTAAACAATACACAATACAACAAAAACTCAAAAGGCAGTAAGATTTGAGAGCCAGAATAATTTAAAATTAAAAAACGTAAACAGCCATCAAGTTTGGCAACTGAAATATAGCCTTCTTCATTCAGCTACTGATCCTACTCTTTGAATTCACTCACACCCTTCCCCTGTGAGTCTTTTGTGTTGCACTGTTAGCAATCATCTGTCTTCCCTGTTGGGTAGAAGGAATTGTGGCATTAGAAAAGGAGAAGCACACGTAGAGAAAGTTACAAGAGAAATTGCCAGGCTGAGGTTCTCACGAAAGCCTCAGGAGAACAACCAAGAGACCAGAGATCAAGCAGAAAGTTATAAACTAACCAGATTAAAACCAGAAAGGCAATGTGAATCCAAACTATGCAAAGCAGGAAGCTGCCAAAGCAGTCAAGCAAAACAATTTCCTTCTATGCAGAGTTCAATCTGATTACAAAAACAAAAAAACAAAATTGGGCATCAGCTACTGGTATCCATGCACAATGCTGATAATTATTGTCTGCCTGGAAGCAAATCTGGTTGCCTTTGCAACAAGGCTCTGCATTCAGAAATGTCAGTGGACACAAACACTTCCACACACACACACACATAGCAACGTCTTATCTAAAACTATTTAGCATGGATGTTCAACTTGGATGACAACAGGGACTGCTAAGGTCAAAAGCATATTGTTGCTATTATTACTACAAGATAGATCATACAGTTCTAAAGGAGCAGCTACAATACAATCAAGGTTTCAAATATGAAAGCCCTATTCAGAGCAACATATGATCAGCTACTAACAGTCAGACAGTGCCACTGTAATACAGGCTGAGTCTCCCTTATCCAAAATGCATGGCAGCAGAAGTGTTTTGGATTTTGGAATATTTGCACATACATAATGAGATATCTTGGAGATGAGACGGAAGTCTAAACATGAAATTCATTTATGTTTCATATGTACCTTATACACATAGCCAAATACATCTGAGGAAGCAGACTGAAGTCTATGAAAACTCATGCTTCTTTATTTTTTTCAGTTAGTCTCAAAGGTGCTAGAAGAACTTTCTACATATTGATTCCACAGACTAACACGGCTATATCTTTGAATTTTACCACATAACCTGGAAGTAATTTTATACACAATATTTTTTAATAATTGTGTGCATGAAACAAAGTTGTGCATGAAACAAAGAAAAGGTGTCACTCAGCTACCCACATGGATAATTTTGGATTTTGGAATGTTTCAGATTTCAGGATCCCAGATAAGGGAGACCCAACTTGTATACAAAAGCATGCTCCCACAAAAGGCAAATAAAATTTTCTGTATTCTGTCCTGAAAAAAAATCTTATGCCCTCCCACACAATTTCCAACTATTATGATCAATGTTTTCATACTCGCCAACTATCCCAAATTGACAGGGACAGTCTTGATTACTGTATGTACTCATTTATAAATAAAAAAATTGACTTGAAAAACCTGGGTCTATCTATATATAGGTCAATATATAGGTCAATGCAATAATACAGTAATAATGCTCGGGGGGTGGCTCTACAGAATTTTTCTGACATGGCAAACTGCTGTGGTCTCTACTAGTTTATCTGTTTTTCCTCATTAGTAACTTTTGCCATCTTAATCACATTCTGTTGTTGCTTGGCCAAACGTCCCAGTTTTCATTTGTAAAATGCTGGAAAGTATCTGGTTTTTTTTTCCCCACTGAACTAGGAATTACAGACGCCACAGTATTTTCAAGTGAATTGTTATTAGGGTATAAATCCTGACTTGGTTCATCTTTGTGTGATAAATAAGAAAAACCAAGACAGCAAAGGAGGGGAGTTGTGAGTCCCAGAGAGATTTTGCACATTTTCAGTACTGATTTTTCTGTATTTATATACATGTGTAAACTGTAAAACTGTAATAAACATTGCCTTGTTGCATGAAGTATTAGCACTGCATGAGTTGTTTGCATCTTTTTGATCAATCACTTTATCCTGATTGTCACAACAAGGTTGTGAGTTCAATACCAGCCAGGGGCTCAAGGTCAACTCAGCCCTGCATCCTTGCATCCAAGGTAATTAAAATGAGTACCCAGCTTGTTGGGGGCAATTAGCTTACACATTGTAAACCGCTTAGGGAGTTGTTGTTGTTGTTGGTTGTTGTTGTTATTATTATCCTACCTCTCTGCACTGATAAGCAGTATAGAAATGTACTTGCTATTGATATTACTTTTTTGCTTGCTGTGTATGTTCATTTGGCTGCAAAAACGGAAGAGATGTTAGTTTTTGTGCAAACTGCAAAAATATTACTGTGATTGGATGCAAAAAAATATACTTGCTCCTGTGATGGAAGCAAGAATTTTCTGGACTGTGGTTAGCAGGTTTTACCACATAGTTCTTCCTCATTGTAGCCGGATCTTTGTCATGCCATAGTAGACTGATTCCACCATCTGCTACTCTGTTACAGTTAGGGTTGCCAGATCTCAGTTTTGGCCCTGGCTTTCCAGTTTTCATGGGCCATCCCCAGACAAGAGAGCAGGGTGCAAAATCTCCAATTATGGCGGACTCACCTCCAGGCAAGAGGAAAGCACTGTGTCCAAACCTCCAGCTCACCCAGTAGAGCAGCAGCTTGCAAGAACTTGCAAGGCTTAATTTATTGGCTGTTTCAACAGACACTCTGGAGGGTGGGGTATGTATTTAGTTAGTTAGCTTCCTCCTTTCCTCCTGGTTGCTTTGGTGCCAGGACTCACCACTTTGTTCTACATACACGTTCAGGCTAAAAGCAAGAATTCTAGATTACAGGTTCCTTATCCCATCTCCCAAAGTAGGCGAGAAATAATAATCCCTTCATTTAATTTTAAGATCTCTAGCTAGCTATATAGCTATTGCTGTAGGTATTTGAATGACAAGCTATGAATAAGGATATAAAGCATAAAAATATAAACCGGCTTACCTGAGCTGGCTTAAAATTAGAAGCAGGTGGCATCCTGGTATTATCAGTTGCATTTAGCCCGGCTCCATTGCCACTCGAAGGGGTGCTCCTCATGAATCTTTTCAAAGGCAGGAATTTTCCAGCTTGAAAAAATGGCCGCTGGAGCACCCCTCTGAGCAGCGATGGAGCTGGCTGCTCCTAGGCGGCAATTTTGGCAGCTAAATGCA